GGTCGCCTAGGGCCCCCGGTGGGGGTCCAGGGGCGAATCCCCCTGGAAGCCACGGATATTTGATGAATTATGGCGAATTTTTATTACTTATTTGATAGGCATCGAGTTATTATTTTCTCTATGCTATAATATGACTTCATGTAGGCTATGCTTTCTAATGTTGATATCAGCTTCTTCCAAAACCAAAACATTTTTGAATAAAGCAAGAAACAAAGAGTATGCAATGTAACCATCTAATTTATTTTCAAATCCTCATTCTTGAAAGGGAAATTCTATATTTTGGAAATTTTGCATTAAAATTAATTTGAATTATTATTATCATTATCATTATTATTATTATTATTATTGTTATTGTTATTGTTATTATTATTATTATTATTATTATTATTATTATTATTATTATTGTGGTTGTTGTTGTGATGAAAAGTTAACACAAACGATATGGTGGCTAAACGAATATTACATGTAAATATTTTTTTTATTTGTTTGTTCCCCGACAAAATTTATCGTCTTCCCCGACGAGGGGGCTAGGCTTCCCCCAGCCCCCTCTGGCGCCACCCCTGCAAATAATGGCATAGATCCCACACAGAGTATAGATACAGTTAGTGATTAGCACGTGATGTGATGATGCAAACATTAATTTAAATTAGATTTATGAGGAGAAAGCTCAATTTGGTTCTGATTCTGTACCCATTGCTTTATATAGCTGCTTGTCAGTATACGATAGGCTTCCGTCGTGAATTACGTATTCTTTCTTTTTGTTTTTGTTAAGCGCCACGCCGAAGTATATCATTTTCATCATCCTCACCAACATTATAATTATCATCATCTTCCTCGTAATAATATTCATCATATTATTATTACGCCTATATAGTTGTAGACCATTGTTTTTTATTGTTGCAAAATGTAACTGTTGACATTTGTGAGCAAAATGATTAAACGATCGCATTTAATTTGGGCCTCAACAATTAATTATTGCTTTCTTATTCGGAAAATTATTCATCATATCGTGCACTTCTTTTCAGGCTCACTCAGGTGCCTGTCTCTTATACACATCTCGATGTGTATAAGAGACAGGTATAATACAGCTATGCTTACAAGTATAAAAGTAAGACTTTAATGCGAGAATTGAGGCCCCAAAAGATCAATTTACATAAAAATACGTGAGTATTATAAGTTGAAATGATAAAAAAAAACAGGACTCCTAATTTAGGAAATGTTAAAAAATATTCTCAACAATACAATTATATTTAGATACGATTATTGTGTTTCCCCGTAAACGACAAAATATATATATTTGGCCCATTAATGACTTTGAATAGTAGGATATTTCAAATTCAGAGAAGGAACTATTTGGGTGGTATATTAAACTTTCTGCAGCAAGATTCTTGGCAATAAATTCCAACCAATCACAGAGCAGAAAAAAATTTACTGCAGTGAGTTTAAGTTTCCGCTGCGAGTTTAGCGCCCTCCATGCACATTTTGACCAATCAGAGGACAGAGAACTCGCTGCAGTAAATTTCTAATTGAACTGCAGTTCAGGAACCGAATACTGAGCGATATCGCACTCCATACGCGTCAGAATGCAGGGGTCTTCAAAAAGATATACGCCCTCACAAATGTTTGACCGCTTGCTCGTTAATTAATGCACGGTACAGACAGCATTAGAGCATAATTACAAATAATGGCATAGATCCCACACAGAGTATAGTTAAAATTAGCACGTGATATGATGATGCAAACATTAATTTAAATTAGATTTATGAGGAGAAAGCTCAATTTGGTTCTGATTCTGTACTTTGACCAATTGCTTTATATAGCTGCTTGTCAGTATACGATAGGCTTCCGTCGTGAATTATGTATTCTTTCTTTTTGTTTTTGTTAAGCGCCACGCCGAAGTATATCATTTTCATCATCCTCACCAACATTATAATTATCATCATCTTCCTCGTAATAATATTCATCATATTATTATTACGCCTATATAGTTGTAGACCATTGTTTTTTATTGTTGCAAAATGTAACTGTTGACATTTGTGAGCAAAATGATTAAACGATCGCATTTAATTTGGGCCTCAACAATTAATTATTGCTTTCTTATTCGGAAAATTATTCATCATATCGTGCACTTCTTTTCAGGCTCACTCAGGTGCTCCCTTCTTTTCCAATTGATATTTTCACGACCTTTCGGAATTACGTAAACATTTGCATTTTGTTTGACAGCATTTTTTGTGTTATTACGTCATTAAAACTCAAGAATCGTCCTGTTCGAGTCACGAAAGCTGAGTGTCAAAAATTGTTGAATAGTCTACCTAGCCGATATATCTTTGTCATTATTCTACAAGTAGTGGCTACTCATAATATCCAGTCAATATTAAAGTAAGTAATATGTACGTAATAGTATTTTCTAATTTCCGAAATTTTGCGCTAGCCTGAGGTTTACAACTTGATCGAGAATTTGGAAGGTCGTTCTTCCTGACTTAGTGATTTGATACCTGAGTGTCACGTGTTGACCAATGGATTTTAATGGTCACCTGCGATACATATTAGTGAAATACACACACCATTTAAAGCTGTCCGGTAGTTAACAGTAGCCCTGTTTATTTAATGTGAAGATGCAATACATAGGCCTATGGCTCAGCGAACCATAATTTGCGTCATGTTCTGACCAGGGAACAGTGAAAGTGTAATTTCACTGTTCCCTGGTTCTGACAATCAAACTGGTATCATGACATTGCTACAAAGCAAAGCTTACGTAAATACCATATTCATGATTAGTAATTGCGTGCCAGGAGGGGGTGGAGTGACAATTGTCGGATGAAACCCAGGTTTTCCACCGAATTCCGCTATAGCCACTGCCAAATGGGCAACCCCCCTGCAATGGTCAGTTTAGCCCTCTGATGCACATCGGACTAGACTACAACTCGCGATTTTCATTTAATCTCATTTTTATTTCTTATAGGCCTAAATGGTTGAATTCAAATCTCAGGGTGAAAATAATTTAATGAAATTGATTAGGCCTACTTATTAGGCCTTGATTAATGAATTTAAACCGATGAATGAAATTGTGTTAAAGGTCCTATTATTTTGTTGATATATAGGCCTACCTATTAATAGGTTGAGGGGAATTTAAAAAACACGTTCAAAGGCAGTACCACATCACAGGTGAATGAGGAGTGAGCAAATATTTATCAAGCAGTAGGAGGCGAAGATTACTGTAATTACCATGGATTTCTTATATTATTGTTTCTACTGTAGTGAGTGTATTAAGGTGAGTCGAATATTCATGAAACGTAATTTCAAATGAAATCCTTAACGCACAAAAGATTAAAAAAGAACATGGTTCAACTTAAATGTTAAAAAAAAGTGTTGATACTGGAAATGGTGATGATGTTGTTGATGACGACGCCGATGATGATGAAGATGTTGATGACGACGATGATGATGAAGCCAACGATTGTGTGGTGGAGAGTAGAAATGACATCAATACTTTTCTTTTCAGCACGATCAGAATGTTGATGAACTGAATAACTTTGCCAGTTCTTCGCAATCAAAAGACGGGGATGAAAAAGATGGATCATCAAGGATACAAAAAAATGGCAACAGGTTGAGATGGCGAGTCAAAGAAGAGGTTCACCTGAGGCCTGATGATGATGATGAAAGCCGCCTTCACTACAAAACATCAATGACAATACCCGCAAACCCAGAGACTGACGAAACTGTGTATTCATCTGAGGTATTTTACATTCCAAAGTCAAGCGATACATCCGAATTCTCGACATCATTATATATTTATCCCAGGGAGGTATTGGAGGAACCTGAAGAAGCATTTATTAACATTATTTCTGATGAGGACTTGGTTGACTCTGTGGTAAAATCACCAATTTTTAGCGAGAGGTTGGATGAGGATTGGACATGGTCGAGGAAGATGTATGCAACACTGACACAGCATTGTTATTTTATGTTTTATTATCATCTAATTTAATATGTAAAGAGCACGCATTTGCACCTGTGTGGGCTATCGACGAATAAGTCTCAACAACGCAACAGTGGTATATTGACAGACATTATAGATATTGATATTGTTATTAAACTTACGTCATTTTAAGATTTTTCTGTGCCTTACTTCTTTCATAAAATTCCGTAAATTTCATTTGTATTTTTTACGAGTTTTAACACTTGATTCCAAATAAAAATATTAGCCGGCTGCTACTTGCCTTTTTGTAATTCTTCCATCTCTATTTACTATCTATTTGCTTTAGTGATCCACATTTAAAATACTGTTTCAAATGATAATCAATCAGGATCGGATCCACAGATGTTCGGGGGCGATGTCCCCGAAAGGGAGGTCGATCAAGAGGCAATACTACCCTAGGGGTTAAGGGCTTTCCCCAGGGAGGTCGATCAAGAGACAATACTACCCTAGGGGTTTAAGGGCATTCCCCCGGGAAATTTGACTTTTCTAGGCGCCAGAAAATAGCCTATGGGGTTATCAGTAATTGCCCTTTTTCTATTTTTACTTTCCAAAAGTGGGGCCGGCCCCACCTACACCCGTAAACAGCAGGGAAGAGATTTTTTTTTAATATACAGTTTGTGTAAAATATGGTACCCATGCTGAGGGCCTTGTGTTGTGGGGACACGGCCAGGGTGGACCCCTCGATTGTAACAGTGCCAATGAGGTCATCACATAAAATCATATGAACAAAATAGCTGGCATTTTTACTTCTTTGTAGGCCTATGTTTATAATAAATTATTATATAAAAAAAAAACATGCTAGAAATTATCAGTTCTCTTCACAGGAAGACAGTGGCCTATATGTTTTGAAATCTATGGGATCTTACTGTAGGTTACCCCTAAATAAGCCAATGAATTATGACTGTTCTTATAATTATAAAATAGACCTGTCTTTACATCAGTAGATTTTCTTTTGAAAAGAGTAAAACGAAAAGATTAAAACAAAAACTTGGTATACATAAATCAAAGAATTCAAATATGGAAAGTTAAACAAAAGCTCAACTTATATTCCATTGTACCTTAATTAATTAATTAATATAATATTTCAGATACAACAAAATTGTACAGCATTATAATACATAATACAATAATATTAAACAATATTAAAAGCAAAATGTCTGACATTTAAAGCACTTCTGACAAGAAGTCGGTTTTGATTTCACAAGAAATGGCCAGCCATACACAATGTGTAAAGTCAACAGCTCTCAGGGGCTTCTAGTCAAACATGCTGAATGTAGCACCAGGCAGCACCTAGGACAATAATAATGATAATATAAATAATAAACTATCAAACCTTGGCTACATGCAAATAATTTAAACACGCTTTTCCTTGCAATGTAAGGCAAGACTTCCCTTGTTTAACGAACCTGCTGACCGCCAATAATGGTGATTTTGAATAAAAATAAAATTTTATTTTTGGCCAGTTAGCGCACACTCCGCTACGAAAAAATGGCATTTTCATTAAAAAAAATATATTTTTGAATTTATTTTATGCACTCTGCTCTCCAGAAATCTCCAAAAATAAGATATATATTTCTTAATTATATAAATTTAAAGCATTTATCAATCTCATTACTACACTGTTTAATTCATTAATAAAATTTTATTTTTAATTTCTCCTCCACCTAGATGGTTCTTGGCAAAATCGTTTTGCTAAATGAGAAAACAAAATAACTTTCTAGGATATCCAAGTGCAGCTATCTGTAGGCGAGACTTTTTTTTATACCTTTGATTAATTTTTGGAATTTCTTTAGAGAAGGGCCAAAAAACATTTGTTTTTTTTTCTCATTTAGCAAAATTTTTCTGTTAAAATCATCTAGGGAAGAAAGAATATTAACATAATAAAATTGCTAATAAAAATCGGATTAATGCATTATAATGATTTGTAAGACAGAATATTTGATTGCGGCAGGCATAATCAAAAACAATGAGGAATAAGTTTATTTTCCACATTTTGACGACAGTGGAGAGTTCGCGAAACAAGGTACAAGTCCCTGTGGTGGACGAGAGAGTTGCTGGTACCGGGTTACTGGGTAGCACAGACACGAAGGGACCCTTAGGGGCGAAGAAAGTCGTTGATCGAGTTCCTAGTCCACATGTCAAGCGCCCTGAGCATCTTATGTTAGATGGATATGTGCGCTATATAAAACTACATTATTATATATTGTAACTATAATAAATATTTTATAGGTATATACTGGCCAGTGATAATAAATATTCAGATATGTACTATTATGGGGCATACAAACATGACTCAAACTTCCACTATTGGAATTCTGGCTTCATCTTAGATTATAATCATCATCAGTGACTGTCAATTCTCGTGCAATCTTAAGAATGCTCTCCTTATCGTGTCGTTCTTTCATTAATTCTGCCAGGTATCTTTTCCTTCGGTTTAATTTATAAGTCTGTATTCGATCTTTCTCTTTCTCTTCATCTGAAAGCTGGTTCTCCCAGCGTAAAGTTTCATTTATCTTCACCACAACAACAGAAATATCTGAATCAGAGGATGATGAATCTTCATCTTCATCCTCCAGTTTAGATGCATAGTGTAAGGGTATATCTTTAGCAATAGTTGAAGAAGTCCGGGTTCCATGTACAGTACCTCTAGCTGAGGTCAAACCTCTGTGTATTGAGGTGGAAGTTCCATTTTGCAGACTCACTGATGCATTTGTCAACGAACCATTGATGTTACTTGTAGTAGGGGCCAAATTAAGTTTACTGATGCCAACAACTTTCAAAGTTAAAGCATTATTTTCATTATCATTAATCTTTTCTTTCAAGGTTACAGAGTTACTTTCATTAAGAATCTTTTCTTGATTAACAGGTGACTTCAATTTGGTTGAACCAGTTTTCTTTTCTTTAGTTTTGCGAGATTTTGTTCCAGACTTTGCACTGCTGCCCTCATTCTTCGACAGTTTACGTCGCACTGAATTACAAATAAAAAATTTCAGATATAACGTCTGTACTGAGCTAAAAATATATTTGGATTGTATTTTGATGATATGGTTCCACCACATTTTATGCGACGCTTTTTGATTAAATTAAATAATGTAGACAGAGCTTAAATTTGGTAGCTTAATTGATCCATAAAAGTAAAATCAATGTAAGTTAAAATTACACTTTTAAGGATTTTGACAGCTGTCATACAAGTAATCTGTCCAAATATCATTTGTTGACCATCATATAATAATAAAATAAATGTGTGTGGGTCGGCCCAGTTTTTTTACGGAAACTTTCAACCTCAGTGTGGCCAAGTTAAAATACACTGTGCGCCTACATTCTGTAAATTCTAATCTCTATTTAAAATAGGTTAATCAGCAGCCACAGTAAAACAAAAATGAAATGGTTGACAAGAGAGTAAAATTTTAAAAGATATCCATGTCTGACATCACGATGTTTTATTCACGTTTTTCCACATACATTTCTGTGATTTTGATAACAGATAATAAACAGGCCTAGGCCTAGCCTAGGGCGCCCTACATAAAATATTGTTAAGTATAGCCGAGTATGGTATCACTTGCATGCACCTAAGCCTAGCCTAACGAGGCACTGGGTTGGTTTAATATTTAAATTATAATAAAATCACACCCACAAACCACGGATGTATGTAGGAGGACTAGGCCTAGGAGGCCCTTCCATACATTACAGGTACAGTACAGTAATTAGGCTCCAGCCTACAAAACGTCATGCAACTTACCTGCATCGATGGCGCTATCGGAGTTTGTTTCCCCGTCTGGGGTACCTGAAGTCTTCCCATTGCGTTTACCGTCTTTGGCCTTCGCCTTTTTACGTTTTTTGGTTGTTTTCTTCCCTTTATCTCCGCAACTAAAAGACTTCCGCGAGTGTGCAAGTTTTTCATCCATTCATAACACTTGTTGATTTTATTAGATTTAGCTAGACACGATCAATCACTTTGTTCGGAAGCCATTAGGCCCTATCTATCTGTCTTGGCCTAACTAAACGATTGATAATCACCTTGGTGATGATGTGATTGGCAGGAGGAAGAGCACACCCATGCCAGCAGATAAAATAATCGATGTCAGTCATTCAGCTCAGGACGCCGTTTACCATAGAGCAAGAAACGTTTACGTAGCCTTACTTGAAAACTGAGATTGAGTCTGCAGTGTTAGTGCCTTCTTTTTCTGTAATATTATGTAAGCAAAACCATTTTGGCCTCGGCACCGGCCTAGACTAGATGATGTAATAATTTTGTTTTTATGTAGGCCAGTGTTGAATCAGTAGTTTTCTCCTGGGGGCCTGGGTAAAGTTGAGTAGGTAGTACTAGTAGGACCAACCTAGCTAGGCCCAGTACAGAATACAGTAGGCCTAGGCCTATAGAACGACCAGGATATAGAGGATAAGGCAAGACAGGACTTGCTATCCGCACAACCACCGTCTCTCCATAGTATTATTAGTAGATAGGCCTACGGGTCTTGAATGAATGGATAAACTGTCTCTTATACACATCTAGATGTGTATAAGAGACAGATATGTTATTATATATAATAATTACTGTAATTGTAAAAACACATGAAGCAAAAGTGTATAGTTGCCATAACTGTTATATGTAGATTGAAACATAAGAGAAGTGGAGCCTGAAAAGAAAGAAAAAAACATCAATCTCTACATGGATCTACAGATTTCTTTTCATGTTAGTTTAAGTTTTTTTATTATTATTATTATTATTCTGCTTGTTTTTAAACCAGATTCTAAAGAAAAATACATCATACCTTTCAAGAATGATCATGTCCAGACATGCTCAAGAACCAGAATCTCCTACACAGGAATATCCACTGAGTGGAACTTCATCTACCGATGAACTTTGGGATAGCATCAGTGACATGGATTTATTGGAGATGGTGCAGCAGTATGAAGGTGTTGAAGAACGTGAAACCAGTTGTCACAAAGAGTCAGAAAACAAAAAGTGGCAATCACTTCCAAAAGAGGAAACTCATGACTTCAGAAAGAGATTGAAACTTGAAATAGACGAAACACCAGAAACTGAGGAAACAGTCTTGAATTATATTGATGAAAAAGTGCAAAAGGCTACCCAACATAGAAACCTTTCTAAGGATCAATTCATACCATCTACCAGTGAACAATATTTATCGCTTGAAAACCATCCCAAAGACCAGCTTTCAGACAACAATCTGACACCCAATCAGATAGCAATATCAAAATTTCAGACCCAGACCAAGCAGAGCCAACATGAAAAAAAAGAAATTAAAGACAGTGGTGTTAATGGTGATCATAAAGACATATCAACTTGTGAAGATAAGCCAGAGGCTCTTTCATCTGGTGATGACGTGGTCGCTGGTCAGTCGGGTACAAGACAAAGGAAAGTATTCACACCATTTGACAAGTTTCGTGGCAGGTATCTAAATGTGACAGATCTGACATCACAAGCATGGTGTGAACAGGCTCTTGTGTACTCCTTCACCAGAATAAGACCAACAGTGGAAGTTGACTCTAGTCCACGGAAAACTGGTGCTAGTATTCATTTGGCTCGAGGTATGTTGGCAGCTGAGACAACTATTTATATTATGTATATATTTGTCTCAGTTTGGCAGGAAACATTTTATTTAAGAGTTGCACAAACTTTGTGATTATTTCTCATTATGAAACTATATATGGAGTGGAGTTGGGGTGTCTGTTTAGAAATGGAACAAAATTCTGCCATTGTTTTGAAACCTAGAATCTTTGAAACCTAGAATCTATCTGGGATTGGAGGGTAAGCATGACATCCAAGGCACAGAATCCCTAATTACGAAAAAAAAAATTGTTCCTAATTAGACCAAACTTATTTATTATAATGTACACGTACACAAAAATTTATACTGTACATTCTCTTTTGTTTTTTCAGAGCTCGAAGTCCATGACATTGCAACTATCCCAGTAACCTCACGTGAGGATATGTTTGCTATCAAATTACTGAATATGTTAACATCCATCATTGCACTTACCACTTGGACAAGCACTATCAGGGAACTACCTGTTTTTGGAGAGCTTCCAAATTCTAACATGTTTGTTAGTGGAATCATCGATGAAATTAAGTACAATGCCAAAGGAGAGTTAGAACTTATTGAATTGAAAACAAGAACCTCGCAAAGAGAACCCTCTAAAGCTCAGTTCAAGACTCACTCTTTACAAGTTATGCTGTATAAACATCTGTTTGATGGTCTTGTGAAGGGTAGCTTAAGCCGAGACATAGTGCTTTCCAAATTGAGCCTCGATGCTACAAAGACCCTTGGGGAAAATGTCATTGAGCAAGGCCACAATCTTGGATTGGAGTGTACTATTTTTGGCGATCTTCTTGATGTTGTTCTTTTACGATTTCAATTCACTGATCTGCCTCTGGTTGATGCACTCAAGATAGAATACTTTCACCAAAAATCCGGTTTAACTTTTGCTAACAGAAGTGTAGAGATGGATGCCGATTGGTTGAATGAAACAATGAAGCATTACCTTAAGTTTTGGAATGGGAACCGAGATGCTGAAGGAGTTGATATAGAAGAGGCATGGAAATGTAAATCATGTGCATATTATGATGACTGCGAATGGATTGAAAAAAGAACACAAGAGTTAAGCATCGAAAATAGATTAAATAATGGTATGTAAATATTACTGAGGTCTTGAATGAATGGATAAAAACACTACTGATTAAATAAATTAATTATACATTTATTGTATTTGTGTGATACCCATGTTTGTGGTTTAAATTCTCATCTAGTTTTCAAAGGAAGGTATACTAAAATTGGCAAATGGCTTACTTCTGGCTTTAAAAACCTATTGCATGTAGGCAATAATAATAATAATAATAATAATAATAATAATAATAATAATAGTAATAATAATACAGAATTTACCGCGCCTTTTGCCAAGGGATACAATGTATATGACAATGTGCAATGATACACCAACAGGCAAACGTACCGTATGTTATTTTATAGCGTGTTATGTTAAAGCCTATGCTGATGACAGACATGGATATTTCAACCTAAACTAATATATATCCAGGGAGGAGGGGGAGCTGCTCCGTAGCTTTTAGTTTCCAATTTGGTTTTCACTCAGAGATCCTTTACTTTAATTTGTTCATATTCGCCCAGTATAAAACTTATTAACATTTCTTATTGGTTGATATCAAACCTTTTTGCTTGTTTCCATTTCTTTTACTGTGACCTAACTCTGTCTCGTGGATTAAACTTAAATCCAATTAATTATTTAATTTATGTTAAATATTTAAATTATTTACTTTAATCAAATTATATTTTTTATCTTAAATTAAATTTTATCTTAAATTTATTTTATCTTAAACTAATTAAATTAAATTTTATCTTAAATTTAATCCAATGAATTATTTAATTTATTTTAAATATTTAAATTATTTAATTTAATCCAATTAATTAATTAAATTAAGTGGCTTAGCGAAAAGACCCAACAGTTTTTTTTAAATAGATTCCAGTAGAGTAACCCTCAGTGGAGTTAACAATAATAGTAATACTGTAATAATAATAATATGTTAGATGTATATAGCACTTAAGGCCAACAAGGCCTCTAAGCGCTTCACATTACTACCAACGGTCATTGGATTAAACGCCTGTGGAACACAAACTCAAGCTCCCTGGGGGAGTATTCCATAAAGTTGCGGCAGCTACATCAGCGCATTTTTGGCATTTATAACCCTACCAGGAGCATTATACTAGCACAACATTGTGTATGTTTTATAATATATTCTAAAGCACTGCCTTACTTTTGAATCACTAATTCTTAAATTCCGTCTCCAGGTATCTGTTGAATATGCATGCTTTATTTGGTCCCCCTGTCAATGCCATCTTTAGCCTTTTTAAATGCATTGAATACCTTATTGGAAAACTAATCGTCAGAGAATTCCCGAAAAACCGGGGTCCAAGTCCCCGACACTTCAATCCCACCAGAAAAGTAGGCTGAATATGAGAACATTTTAAGAAAGCAGACAGACTCTCCGTGCCTTCTTTGGAGCAGTGTTTTGTGCCCCTGGGACCCCCGCCGGTGCCGACCTTGTCCTGTACCCACCCATCATACAAAAACACTTTTTAAAATTAATTATGGTCTTTCCAAAGCAGGCAAGTTACAATTCATTTCCTGCATTCCTTCTTCTCCCAAAATCGTTTGCAGCTCCTTACATCGTATTTACAAACTGCACATCACGATTCCTCTCTATTTTCTTCCATTCGCTGTTATAACTATTTTGAAAGAGTTATTTAACCTATTTTCATATTTGTTACTGTTATTTTAATTTTTAATTAAATATATTTGATTTGAAGTAGGCATGATACCGTTAATTTCCTCCATTCCTTCCTCTTTTCCAAACATCGTTTGCATCTTGTTACGTCGCATTCACAAGCCACGATTCCTGTTTGTTCTTCCATTCGCTGTCATAACTATTTTGAAAGAGTATTTTCGTATATGTTATTGTTATTTTTTTTTTTTAAAGTAAAGGGAATATATTTGATTTTATATTTGTACTATAATGACTGGATTGTTTATTTTATAAGGCTTTTAATTATATCTTTATTTTTTTATATCTTTTCCCACTATTTAAAATAGCAATATTAATGATACAGTCCATATCTGTCTATCTATGAGATTGTTTAATGATGTAAATGTGTAAATACGTTTTGACATTTTAGGCAATATTTTAACGTCTTTCATATTCTTTTTATATTGTATAGTTCTCGCTTTAACGCACCACCTACAGTAAGCGTGTACAGTACCGTTGTTCTAAATTTGTTAACACTTATTTTAATAAGAAAGTATAATACAAAAAAATGCTGATTCATCCATTCCTGATGATGACATAATTAATGTCGAAATATTGAATCCCAACACGATGGCGTGTATTTCAATACTTGGAGTATGTATTATACTTTCTTATCTGAGATTAATCAGTGGACCTTTCGGTTTTTTCTTATTTTAATGTTATAGCGGTTCAGAGCATTCAGAGAGAATTCACTAGTTGTCAGGCTCACAGCCCATTATCTCTCTTTTTGTACTTCATTGTATTGTCGTTTATAGTGTGTGTAATTAATTGTTGAAGTGTCAAGACTATATGATAAATAAAGGATAAAGGTAGCGGTTTAGAGATACTTCACTATAGTGTCGGGCTTACAGCCCATTATCTCTTTTTTGCAGTTCATTGTATTGTCATTAATAATTTTTGTATTTAATTGTTGAAGTGTCGAGTTCATAATACAGTAAATGAAAAATAAATGGTAAAGGTATAAAGGGTAAAGGTAATAATAACTCTGTTATATGCCTATATAATACATATGATAGTATTTTGTTATATTGTAGAAATACTCTATTTTTTAAATACCATCAATGGTTTATGAAGTAAAACAAGTAAATCGTATGGGATAATTTTAAATATTTATTTTGGGATAAGTAAGTATATCATTGCAATAAAAGTAAACTACTATATACAGTTATTTTGTGGCTTTTTTTTTAATTGTTGTGTTGATTAGGCCATTAGGCACACTACACAATAACTTTTGAATATCAGGGTCGGTCGGCAATTCTGGGGTTTTTGTCGACATCCCATCCCATGCATTTATTTCGGTAAAATGGTTAAAGTGCACGGTACCGGTATATTCGTACATTCCATATGATGTAGTTGAGTAGAAAGAATAAAATAATGAAGCGTTATCACAATTTTCCATCTAAATATAAATTACTTCCTATTTTTAATTTGCCTCTAATTAAACACCCAATTATTACTATTGAAATATTTACCATGGGTGGGCCTATTTTCGCTTAGATGCGATGGAATCATCATCGACATCTTCGTCATCATCATCATTTATCTTCGTCGTCATTATCATCAACATCGTCATCGTCATCTCCATCATTTTAACATCACCAGCAACCATCACAACGATCATCATTATCATTAACATCTTTATCATCCAGTGGCTAAACGACGAGTCATAGGACCAGGGGGAGGGGGAAAACGTGTTGGGGCCCATGAATTTCAGTAAAGTATTCCAAACCTCAGAACATTATGAATATTATGGCTGAAAAACTGCATAAACAATGTTACACCATGGAGAATCTATTTTATTTTCTCCATGGTTACACCGCTAAGGAATATAATCATATTGTGTGACTATTTGAATCAGAACTAACTTTTAATTCCACACCTGGGCCCCTGTGGACTGGGCTCTGGGGATTCTTTTCTAACTCATATGCGTTACGCCACTGTCATGATGTCATCATAATCACCATCGTCATTATATTCATAAAATATCATCGTAATCGAGGCATAATCATGGGATTCCGAATCGTCATGATCACCATCAGCATTGTTGTTTATCGTTAGAATTTTGCTGCCCTCTTTCTAAGGACGCGAGTGGAGGGGGTTTCCCTTTACGGTATAGTCCATTCGAAAAAGAGGATTTGTTTGTCTGCAAACGTGTGTATTTCTCTCTTAAATTAAAGTAAGTACGCAAATATAGTTAGCATTGTGGGTAGAGTATTCTATTCTATATTGTCGACGTTTTATAAATTTTGACTAACTACAGATAACAACCATAATTTTACTGACAAAGTTCCCTCTCATCGAAAGACTAGGCTAGGCCTTACGACTTACGATTAAACGTGGGGCTTATTGCCCTTACTAGTTGCCGACACGTGTCTCCGTGGAAGCAGGTCAACTCGGCCACAAGTCAACTCGGCCACAAGTCAACTCGGCCACAAATCAACTTGGCCACAAAAAGTTCGGATGCAGTCAACTCGGCCACAAGTTATTTATAATTAAAATGAAATGTAAATATTACAGTTTCTGCATCCTTTTTCTTCAATATGATTAAAATGAAGTACACAGTATATTTTAGTAAAATTCTGATCATTGTCTCATCGTCGTGAGATCGTTGTATACATTTCTTCACACTACTCTTATTCAACAGAGAAAACCCGCCACTTACAGAATGGAATAAAATCTGACAATTGTAAACACTAACAATTTAAGCAATCTTAATTATTAAGAAAAACACATATATTAATGTTTAATTTTGTTCACGTTAAAACACTGACATAAAACATGAGTGCATACTGTAGACCTAATCATAAAAAATTGAAATAGAAAAACCAAATTATGATTTTTTTAATGTTTTTAAATCCGACTAAAATCAAATGAATGCACAATGGCATTTTTTTATACTATATTCTTCAGAACCACGCCCAAGAATTAGACCTACGTTAAAATTAGGTGGGGTGCAGCATCTAGTATCAATTATCCATAATAGGAACAATTGGTATTGTTGAGTGACAGAC